TACAGCTTCTCCATTACCAACACACAAACACACAGCACCACAAAGGTTCGTTTGTTTGGGTGAAATTGTGGTTTATATTTCAGCATTTTATGTCTTTGCACAAATTGATAATGGGACGCAGCCGCCGTTATCACTGCCTTGAAAGTCTCTGCGTTAGTCACTCCTGCCACTTCAATTCACCACAGTCACTGTTTTCTTTACTAGCTCCCTAGTTTTGCCAGTACTTTATATGAATGTCTATGTCTGGAAATACTAGCCGTTCTGTCGTTATTTAGAGATGATCTCAGAGGCAGTCCAGTTCTTTTTTTTTAACCTGATGACAGTGTCATGGTGTTAAAGATTATAGCATTTGGGACTTAAAAAAATGCAAAAATACAAGCCTTTATGGGACAGTGGAGTGGAGGCCTCCAGGGTACGGGCACAAGCTGCTGCTCCTTTTGTGGCCCCCTCCCCTTTTTTCTAAATTATGTTTGTGGTGACACGGGGTCTCTGTGTGTCCCTGACTGCCTGGAAATTTTTGTAGACCAGGCTGGCCTGAACCGCCTCTGCCTCTGGAGTACTGGGATAAAAAGCCTGAGCCACCAGGCTTGGCTTCCTCTTGCAGAGGACTGAAGTTACGGTCCCAGCAGCCCAATCAAACTATCCATAGCCCTCTGTAACCCCAGCTCCAGAGGATCCGGGGTCTCTCTCATGTCTAAGAACCTGAGTGCGTGTGCATACACACACACACACACACACACACACACACACACTGGCACAGGCACACAAACACAAATTTTAAAAACTTTAGATCTCGTGTTAAGCAGTTGTTTTGTTTTTATTCATATTTATTTTGTGTGTATGTGTGCACAGTAAGTTTGTGAAGGCCTGAAAAACAACTACCCAGCATTTCTCTTCCTCCACTGTGTAGATTCCCAGGATCAGGATTCAGGTTTGGGTATAAAATGTCTCTTCCTGAAAAATGATTTTTGTTGTGGAGTGTCTGTTTATTTGTTTGTTTTGGAAGCTGTAGTTACAGCCTTTGAAACTACTGAGAACCCAACTTGAGGCCTTTAGAAATTCTCCTTTGGAGTATGGGTCATTTCTTCAGGGTTTTTAGAGCGGCTTTGGGTTAATGGGGAAGTTGAATAGAAGTGACAGAGATCGGGTGTGTGTGGGTGTGTGTGGGTGTGTGCGAGTCTTTCCAAATCACAAACTATAGAACTTCTTCGTTTTTTAGGATATATATGTAATATTTCATTTAGGGGACATACTTTCAGTATATTTCATGAATCCTAATTTGATGATGGCCTAGGTGTTTTCAGTTTTTGCTGTTGTAATTTGGTTAGGATGGTCCTTTTATGTAGCTGCATTCTTTAGCGATAATTTGTACAATTTTAAACTTAAAATGTTTTACCATTAGGCACTACTAAAATGACTGCAGTTAAAAGTATTTAGTACCCTGCTGGGTGTTGCCTTAATCCCAGCACAGGAGGGGCAGAGGCAGGCCTGGTCTACAGAGTGAGTGCCAGCATAGCCTCCAAAGCTACACAGAGAAACCCTGTCTCAAACAAACAAACAAACAAAAAAGGTATTTAATACCCTTGCAGAGTACTTGGGTTTCCAAACATTCCCAGTACCCATAGCTCACAAACACTTGTAACTCTGATTCCAAGGATCTGATACTCTTTTTCTGGCCTTCAGTGACATCTGTACACATACGATGTACAGACAAACAAGCAAGTACAAACACAGAAGTTAAAAAATAATTATGTCATCATATATATGAATCATACTGCATTACAAGTATTGAACTTAGTTTGTGTGCTGTGAATTTGCAGCACTGTCAGTGAATTAACCATTCTTCCAGTGTTGGTGAGTGTACATTTATATAAAAACAAAACATTGTTCTGGTAGGTAGATGACTCCAGAAAGTATCTGTCATGCAAGCCTAAGGACCCAGTTTTAATCCCCAGAACCCATGTAAAAAGCCAAGCACGGTGGTATGCATCCTTAATCTCAGTACAAGGAGACAGAGACAGGAGGATCTTTGGGACTTGCTAGCCAACCAGTGTAGTTAAATTTGTGAGTTCCTGGTTCACTGAGATACCCAATCTCAAAAAATTAAGGAGAGCTATTGAGGGAGACACACAGCCTCTGGACACACACACACACACACACACTCTCTCACTCTCTCGTATATGTATAAATAAATGATTCTGTATTTTACAGTTACCATATTAGGAGAAGCACACATTTCAGAGAGCCCCCCCCAAAAAAAAAAAAAAAAAAACTTGGGACAAAATAAAGCAAAAGTTTCTTTGTTTAGTGATGGTTCTGGCAGACATGTTGATTTACTAAAATCTGCTTTGTTTTGAGACAAGATCTCCCTAGGTAGCTGTAGTCTATCCTGAACTCTCAACGCCCTTGCCTCAGCCTGTGATTACAACCATGTACCACCATGCTTGATCAAGTCTCAACCTCCTGATCAGTTTTCCAAGTTTAATTCAAGTTGATAAATGCTTGCTCTATTTAAATGATAGGAATTTAGGATAAAGATAAGAGTAACACTGAAAGAAACAAAGAAAGCACTGTATATGAAAATGACCAACATTTCCATCTTACAATACAAACCACCGTTAAACAGTACATGCTGAGAACTACCTCCACTAAGACAATACTGCCTAATTACTTGGAATATCCACAGTCGGACATAAGTTTCTTACAAGCAGGAGGGAATGTCACAAGTTCCCAATGTTGGGGATATTTAGCAAATTAAGACAAGGTATGGGTATCAAATATACTGCAAAATACAGAGGCATACTGACATAGGCTGTAGCTCCAATGGTGCATCGATGGTACTTGCTTGCCTAGCATGCACAGAGTTGAGTGTGATCCCCAGCACCATGTAAAATCAGACATGGTGCGTTCGAGTTATTGGATCAGATCTTGAGTCACCTCTCCATCCTCAGCACATTTTGTTTCTGTATAAACATAAACCCTCAAATATTTCATCCAGCTGCTTCTGTTGAGCATTTCAGTGTGTGAAAGCGAAACAGTAGAGACTGATATTGTTGTTTCACGGGTCACAAAATTTACCATCCTTTTTTTTTCTTTTGAGACAAGGTCTCATTGTGTTGCCTTGGCTGCCCTTGAACTTACTATTATAGATCATGCTAGCCTTGAACTAGAACACAGAGATCCCCTGCTCTTCCTGAGTGCTTGGATTAAAGGGGTGCCCCACCATGCCCAGCATCCTTAGCCATTTGTACAGTGTAGTTCAGTGTTAGCTGGATTTGCAGTGCTCTACAACCCTCTGTCTACTTCAGAGCTCTCATCCCAATTAAACTGTGCATGGTGAAACGATAACTCACATTTCTCTTGCCTGATAAGCTCCACTCTGTCCTTCTGTCTTAATGGGTTTACTTCTTACAGATACCTCCCAGGAACTGTGATGCTGTATGCTTGTGTTTGTCTTACACTTAGCATCACTGTTCTCAAGGCCCATCAGATACAGGGTTAGAATTGGATAGTTTGAAAATTGAATGGAGTGTGTGTTTTTTATCTAGTCATCCATGGATGGGTATTTGTTTTGTTCTGCCCTTTGATTGTTGTGAATACTGACTGCTACTGTGAACACTGGTGTTCTGCTAGAGTGTGATTTGCATTTGTTTGGGTATCTGTAGTACCTAGACATGAAATTGGAGGTTCATATGGTGAGTCTGTGTGTGGTAACTTTCTGAAGAGCAGCCAAATTATTTTCTACAACATATATTCTATTTTATACTCCCATCACCAGTGTATAAAGGGTCCCAATTTCTTCCCATTTGTAATAATCCTTGTGATTTTCTGGTTCTTTGATAATAGCCTTCCTGGTAATATTGAGCATTCTTTCATGTATATATTGGCCATTGATAGTGTGTCTTTGGAGGAATGTATTTTGATCCCTTTGCTCAGTTTTAAATTAGATGACCAGGTGTTTTGTCTTTTTAGACCCTGAGCATTATTCCCTAATTAAATATATGGTTTGCAGATGGTTCCCCATTCTGCAAATTGTCATTATTTGTGGCACATTTATTTCTTGCACACTTTAAATTATTTTGGAAGGCAAAGAGTACTGGCTTCTAGAGTGCCTGGTTTTGAGTCCCAGCACCCACAGCCATCTGTAACTCTGTTTCCAATAATCTGATTCATTTTTCTGACCTCCACAGGTACTGCATGTACGCAGTGCACAGATAGACATGCAGGCAAAATACTCGAACACATAAAATAAATTTTAAAGTTTATTTTAGGTTATGTTTTTGTTTTGAGGTAAATTGTTCTGACATTCCTGCCTCCAGCTCCTAAGTGATAGAATTGCAGGTATGTGCCACGGTGCCTAGCCACCATTTTATGAAGTCCTCGGTTTTTTGTTGGTGGTCGTAACTTAATTTTTTTTTCCTTTGGCTTTGGTTTTTCAAGAAAGAGTTTCTCTGTGTAGCCTTGGCTATTCTGGAACTCACTCTGTAGACTCACAGAGATCCTCCTGCCTCTGCCTCCGCCTCTGAGTGAGTGCTGGGATTAAAGGCTTGTACCACTACCACCCAGCAATTGTAGCTTAATTTTTTATGTTAATTTGAGAATAAAATCACCATCCATATGGACTAGGAGATTTAGCAGTATGTCAGGGTAGATCGTTTTTGTTTCTTTGAAGTGGGTTTCGTAATTTGCAAGTAGCATAGTGTGGTCACCTTCACTGAGCTATTGGGTCTCAGGAACAGTTACTTAAAGGCTTCAGCAGGTGAGAGGCATCATTGTTCTTCAAAATTCTGCTAAAGCAACAGCATTTGTGTTATATGGAGTGACTATTTACCTCACAAAATTCAAGGCTGTGTAGAAGATTAAACTGATTTTTATAAGTTGATTAGTCAGCTTGTTCATACTTAGTTGGATATAGTATTCATTTATACTAATGCTTCTAGATAGATGTGACTTTTCTTAGTGGTTATTTTAATGGAATTAATTGTTGTTCTTTCCTCAAGGCCTACATGAATCCAATAGCGATGGCTCGATCGAGGGGTCCAATCCAGTCTTCAGGGCCAACAATCCAGGACTATCTGAACCGACCGAGGCCTACCTGGTATTCCTCAGTTTACCTGTTCATAAGTTTACCCTTACTACCTTTGGTGATTGTTGAGCAGTTGCCAGATAACAAGTGATTTTCACTTATTTTTGAGAATTTCGTACATGAGAATTGTATTTATATAATTTCCACTCACTCCCCTCCAACTCTTCCTGTTTCCATTCCTGCTCCCTCTCAACTTCCTGATTTCTTTAATTGAGGTCTTTGATCCACTTAGAATTGATTTTTGTTCAGGGTTATATATGTGGATCTAATTTCGTTCTTGTACATGTGGACATCCAGAATAATGAGTAGTTTTTAAAGTAACGTTTAACAGGTGCTTTGTTTTGAATATGTGATTTCATATTCATAAACAAAATAGAACCTTGCATGGCTAAAACATTTCTAGGGAGCCTTCTTCTATCACTGGCTTCTGTAGCCTCTAAAATGTCTCGCTTAACCTTGCAGAGTTCTGTGCTGTTTAAAGCAGCAGTGTGGTGGATGATGGTGTCCTTCACTGAGAGTCACAGAGGTTGGGGAGGAGTAACAGAAATATACTGTACGGTGTTATTCCAAGTTTATCAGCTGATTCAGAAGAGTCAGAAAAACTGGAGGAGTAGCTCTCATCCTTTGTAAATTCATGGTCACAGTTTCAAGCACTGTTATTTAATATTTCCTTTTTGTTACTACTCCAGTCCTAACGTGACAAATCACCAACTGCAGGGCACCCTTGGGTCCAAGCAACTGGAGTTGATGCTTGCTGTATGTTATAGGGAATCCTTTCCACTCCCTGCCCACTTCCTCCAGTGTGCTTAAATATTATTCTTAACCACTGCAACATCCAGAAAAGTTCCCCAATGTTATTTTACCTGTAATATGGTAAGAGGGGATGGAATTTAAAGGGGAAATGCCCATGAGTCAAAAGCCTTTAAAACAACCCATAGGTTGGTTAACTCATAAGAGCACACTTAGAGGAGTCTTGGCAGGTAATTCCACTCCTAACAAGATTTATGCAACAAAAGGCTGTTGAAAAGGGGAACTGTGGAAAGTCAGGCACGGGCTCGAAAGGTTTTGCTAACAGAATCATACAAGCACATTAATCCCTCTAGCAAGGAATTATGACAACATGTGGGATGTTGCCAGCCCAGAAGGCTCATAGGTGTGCTCAGGATTTTTATTGCTAAGTAATGAGCCTCTGCTGTCACATTTTCAAATTCTGAATTCAGAAGTGAAGCAGGTGTTTGGCCTGAACTGTACTGTGTCTTCCGACACACAGAGTTAGGTGGAATAAGCCACTGTAGTAAGACCTTCAAAATCCAGCTCCAAGGTGCCCACCTGCCAGAGGCCAGTGGTCTAGGAAGATAGACTGGCTGTATCAAGCCTTAGGCATGCATGTTGAGTATTTTATGTCATGGGGGCTTGACAACATAATGTAGCTTTGTGTAAGATAGACTTGATTTGACTCATCTTAATGCTGACAGCTTGCGTTGTGTTCTCACTTTCTCAGAACTTGAGTACCTATTACTTACTGGTACTCATTGTTGTGAGATTCAATCAAAATAATGTTTAAACAGTCTGGGTTTAGAAGAGGGGTGATATCACCCAGTGGGCTTAATTATGATTGCTTACATGATGGTGAACAAAGAAACTTGAACTATCAATATGAAAGGGTGTCTTTTGGTTTTTCGAGACAGGGTTTCTTGGTGGCTTTGGAGACTATCCTGCACTCTCTCTGCCTCGAACTCACAGAGATCTGCCTGCCTCTGCCTCCCGAGTGCTGGGATTAAAGGCATGCGCCACCAACACCCGGCAAAAGGGGGTCTTAGATTATTAAAATTCTGTCTTTTTCATGTTGTTCACTTAAGTTGAAATGCTTGGAATTGTGTTTGTCATTCTGTTTTTTAAGGGAGGAAGTAAAGGAGCAGCTAGAAAAGAAAAAGAAGGGTTCCAAAGCTTTGGCTGAATTTGAAGAAAAAATGAATGAGGTTTGTAAATAGCATCTTTTAAAGAAATAGATCTTTTCCTTACAGTAAAATGAAATCTCTTTTAATTGTTTCACTTTAATAAACCAAGAATTTGAGCATTGCACTTTAGGCACTAAGGATAGTCTATATTTTATGAGTATTTCTGTTACATTTGAAGACAGGTTTGTGAGTAAATGAATACTTCTATAAAAAGAAGAGAAGGGGAACTGGAGAGATGGCTCAGCGGTTAAGAGCATTGGCTGTTCTTCCAGAGGTCCTGAGTTCAATTCCCAGCAACTACATGGTGGCTCACAACATCCTGAATAAGATCTGGTGCCCTCTGCTGGCATGCAGGCACAAGACTGTATACATAATCAATAAATAAAATTTAAAAAAAAAAAGAAGAGAAGGACTTAGTAAAGGCACTTGCCTCGAAAGCCTGATGATCTGAATCTGATCCTCAGAATCCACATGAACATGAAAGACCCTACACACATACACCATAATACATGTGCACGCACTCATACCTCACACCTGCCCACAATAATCATACTTCTTTTTTGGCAGGGGGTTCACTACAGACAGGGTTTCTTGTTTAGCCCTGGCTATCTCTGTAGACCAGGCTGGTCTCAAACTCACAGATCCACCTGCCTCTGCCTCCCAAGTTAAAAGTGTGCCACCACTGCAGGGAGATACATGATGCATTTATTTGTTTGTTTGTTTGTTCGTTTGTTCGTTCATTCATTCATAACCTAGGCCTGGTGAGTGGCATATGCCTTTAATCCCAGCACTCAGAGGGTGGAGGCAGGTGGATTTCAGAATTCAAGATAACTTGGTATACACAGCAAGTTCCAGGACAGCCAGGGCTACACAGAGAAACTCTGTCTTGAAAAACACATCTTACACAGACATATACACAAATGAAAATAAATTAAAAAAAAAGGGGGGGGGAAGTCGAGATAGGTGAGTGGTAATTTAAAAAGAACAAAAGCTAAGAGAGAGAGCAGTAACCTCTAATGGTGTCTTAACTTTTTTGTAGAATTGGAAAAAAGAACTAGAAAAACACAGAGAGAAGTTGTTAAGTGGGAATGAAAGCTCATCCAAAAAAAGACAGGTAATGCCCCTGTTTGCTTATTGCCATTCTTATCATTGGTGTCATAAAAATGATGTGTCAGTATGTTTGAAAGTCTCGTCCACTTACTCGGGCTCATGTTTATTTCTATTTAGAAAAAGAAAAAAGAAAAGAAGAAATCTGGTAGGGTGAGCAAAAGTTTTCTATTTTTCTAAATGTTAGAATTAAGAGCTATTTTTTTAAAAGTAAGAATGATTTTTTTTAACCTGTATGCTAAAGGTAACTTAGACTGTAGATGAGTCAAGCAGCCTAGAGGTCCATGGGCTGTGATGGGTGATGTTCCTTCCCTTAGTGACATGAAGGGGATATCAACTCCTTCAAAACCTAATGATTTCTTTGTTGCTACCAAAGAGGACAGTTGTTGACCGTTACTGCAATGTTGTCACTTTGTTGAGCTTCTGGGGGACAGAGGTGGCTTAGACATTTAGTTTCTGAATCTTATGGATATGGCCTCTGTTTCTTAGACCCTAGATTGATTTCACTAAGTTCTTGAGAGACTTAATCAAGTAAACCAATTCCCGAATCTCACAAGCTTTAATTGTTTTGTGTTTGGTCAAGTATTCATCTTCTTCTTCATCGAGCTCTGATTCTTCCAGCAGTTCTTCAGATTCTGAAGATGAGGTAAGATTGGCTCTGGTGGTTCATGAAGTAATTGGGGACTCCTGTTGTGAAATTGCTGCTAGACATCTTGCCTTTCTGATTTTAATTAATTGCTCATAACTTAAAGTGCCCATTACAAATAAATGAAGTGATGAGATGTTTAAATATTGGTATTTGTTTTTATGTTTGCTTTGTTCATTTAAAATAATATTTTTTGAAAAATCTAAAACACTTGACTCATTGATTAGAATTACAAACATATAATTCAGATCATTTGATTCTTCAAATAGAAAAATGGTATGTTGCATTGTTATATTATAAATACTTGTTGAGGAAAATATGTTTATAAGCTGGTCCTTTCATTAAGTTCTGGTTATTACATTTATGATATTAGTTAAATGGATAAATTGTATTCTGAAACAGAAAGCAAATGTTTCTAAATGTTTTGTGTAGGATAAAAAACAAACAAAAAAGAGGAAGAAAAAGAAGAGCCGTTGCCATAAGTCTCCTGAGAGCTCAGTGTCAGACTCCGACTCGGATAGCAAGGTGAGACTCACAGACCTGAATTGCTGAGAGCAAACATATTGCATTTAACCCTTTCAGCAGCCATATGAGGGAGTAATTTGTTAACACAGAGGTTAATAGACTAAGGGAATAAATGCAGAATTCCTGATGAGGACAGTAGGCAAACCAGATTGAAGGATGGCAGAAAACCATGTGGATTATAGAACTTCAGTGTATGTGGCTGTTAAGACCAAGACAGTGGCATAAAGCCCCATTTTAAAATAAGCCATTTGGGAGTTGCAGAGTGTTTAGGAGTACATAGGCTTTATTCAGTTAAACAGTGGAAACAGTCTTACCTGCAGAAATACACACAAGATAGATTGAGCTTTTGTTTTCAGAATAAATTCTGATATTAAAGAAAATTTACTACTCATGAATCAAATCATTTTGGGAGAGGGCTACACTTGTACTGTTTCTCTTTGTCTGTTTGTGCAGGACAGTTCAAAAAAGAGAAAGAAGTCAAAGGATGTGACTGAGAAAGAAAAGGTAACTGTTTTTACACTGACCTCAGGTAGTCTGTCACACAGCACTTAAATGGCCAGGAAGTTAACCATGATGTGTACCATATCAAGGGGTTTCGTGTTAATGCAATGGTTTTTTGCTTTGTTTTTAATGAATTTGCTTATTTATGAGATGTGAGCTCATGGTGTTGCCCAACCTGGCCTCGGACTCCTGGGATCTTCCTGAGCAGCTGGGGCTGTGGCCACCTGGTCCCCACTATAATTTCTCTATTATTAATACTAATTGGTATGTATTAATTGATAGAAGGAGAAAAGCTGTATGACTATTTCAATAGTTGCCTGAAGGATGTCACTTGATTTGGTATTAATGCCTGATGTTCAAAACCATTTAAAAATAATGGTTGTAGCCGGGTGGTGGTGTTTCATGACTTTAATCCCAGCACTCGGGAGGCAGAGACAGGAGGATCTCTGTGAGTTCGAGGCCAGCCTAGGCTACAGAGCGAGTTCCAGGATAGGCTCCAAAGCAATACAGAGAAACCCTGTCTCGAAAAACCAATAATAATAATAATAAGGTTGCTTTCATATTTCAAAAAAGTCTATGAAACTAAAAGTTGGTGATACAAAGTGAAAAACTGAAGCTGCTGTGTTATGATTTTGAAATACTTCTAAGTATTACATAAAAAATCTCATACGTAGACTCTGGGAACAGCCACCCTCGTGGTGACTAGAATTAATGTATGGGTTGCACTTGCTTGTCTTTACTGGTTTAAAGTCAGCACTCCTTCAGAGGTAGTGGTCCTGGAATTAACGTTCCATATGCTTCTCATCCTCATTTAGCACTAAGTATGTATTTTACTCATAGTAACATACAGTGTTGTGTGCTTTTCAAGAGCATGACAAGTTCTGAAACCAGCTTTTTATTCAGCAGTACTGATGCCATTTATCCTTGATGTTTTCAAGTTTATTTCTTTTGCTTACAATATTCCATTTATTCCCTATCCTCCTAAGACGCTTCTAGATTGTTTTCACTCTTTAATAGATGTATTTATTAGTATACTATCTGTCTGCATATGTTTATGTGCACCACATGCATGCAGATGTGTTTGTGTGGAGGTCAGCAAAGGACATAGAATCTCCTTGAGCCGCGTTCATCAGGTGGTTGTGGGTGCTGGCCCTCGAACCTGAGTCCTCTGAATGAGCAGTGGGTGCTCTTAGCCACTGAGCCATCTCAGTGAGCCACTACTGTTTACAGTTTTCAGCAATACAAACTGCTGCAGTGCATATTTATTTTGAAGATTTATTCATGTTTATGTGCTTAAGTGTACCTGCCCAGTGCCCAAGATGGCCAGAAGAGGGCATCAGATACTCCAGAACTGGAGTTACAGGAAGTTGTAAGTCATCGGGTAGGTGCTGGAAACTGAACCAGGGTCTTCTGTAGTTGCAACAAGTTCACTTAATTACAGAGCCTCTGTCTGGCTCTATACAGTGGGCATTTCTTAACTCTTTTTCCTCCTATGAGTTATTCTTAATTTTCTAATGTATGTCTGGGACTGTAATTTTTAGGTTCCCAGAATGTAGATACATTTAGTTTATCTAAACATTTTCTCACCAAAGTGTTTATCAATTTACATTTCTGCTCAGTTGGCCATAGTAGATGTTTGTGAAATTTTTAGTTCTTAAAATGTCTACTTTCGTCCCTGAGTACATTATAAATTTTTTAGTTTGTGTGTATACACATGCATGTATACACAGGATATGGCAGAATGATGGTGTGTACCTTGTGTATATAGAGATTAGAAAACAGCTTTGTGAAGTGGGTTTTCCTCTTCTACCTTTATGTGAGTTTTTGGTGTCTTTATAGCCTGAAATGTTGCTGTCCTGGAACTAAGATGTTTAGATGTTTTTTAATTTTAAATGGAGGAGTTAGAGAGTTGGCTCAGTAGATAAGCATGTTTGCTTCTCTTCCATAGGACCCAAGTTCTGAGTTTAGTTTGCAACACCCACATTGGGTGGCTTACGAGCTCCTATAACTCCAGTTCCGGGGGATCTGACACCCTTTTTTGGCCTCCCTGGGTACCTGCACACACATGTGACATACACTCTTGCATATACACATACATATAGATAAAAATGAAATATTTCAAAATATAATACTCTAAGTATACCAGTGTTATTGTTCAGATCCTTTTAAATCATAACAGGCAATTACCAACTGTTTTTCTTTTCTGATGCACTCCTGAGTAGAGCCAGCAGGATTAACATACAAAGGACCTAAATCTTCCACCATCTTCGTTTCTTAAAATTATATCTGCTAATTTAAGGAAATGAAGACATTATATCCATATCAGTGGTTCTCAGCCATGCTAATGCTGTGACCTTTAGTGTAGTCCTCATGTTGTGGTGACCCCCCCCACCATAATTATTTTGTTGCTACCTCATAACTATAATTTTACTGCTGTTATGAATTGTAATGTAAATATCTGTTTTCTTCCAGTCTTTTGGGACCCTGTGAAAGGGGCATTTGACCCCCAAAGGGTCTGCAACCCACATGTTGAGAACTGCTAATCTAAATGGACATGAAGTTAACTTCAATTTGTTAAATGAAAGTATTGCTTTAGTGGCATTAAAAATTTCTGAGTCCTTGTTGATGTCACTATGTTTAGAAATTTCTAATTTTAAAACTGGGCGATTTGTAGAATTTGTTAAATGTAGTTTAGAAACATGAAATTTGGGGATTGTGTGACAGCTCAGCATAAAGAAACCCTTGGTGCAGACTTGACAGCCTGAGTTGACTCCTTGAATCCCACAGAGTTGAAGGAGAGAATAAAAAGAGTGCATGCAGTGTTCCCCTCCCTGTCGTACATGCACACATATGCCTGCATGCAAATATACATACACATAGCAAATAGAAACTTTTCAGTTTGAAAAAAGAAGCATGAAGTTTTCCTAACAGTATTTTTTAAATGGGGATGAATGTATTTGTTTCCATAGGACACTAAAGGACTCAGCAAAAAAAGAAAGCTGTATGACGATAGAGCGCTGTCCACTGGGTCGTCATCAGAGTCGGATTATGAAGAGGTGAGTGAAGGAAAGGAAACTTTCACAGTAAGTTTTATAATTAAATGACTGTCGTTTTGATAATCAACCATGTTTAACCATGCCTTTCCAATGTCATATTTTTTAATATTGTCATTCTGGTTACATGGAAGAGGCTATGTACAGTGCAGCAAACTAAAACCCAATCGTGACTGAAGTAGAAAGAATTACCACACATGGTCTTCATTTTGTCTTAAACAGGCTAGATGAGATGCCAAAGGGGCTGGTTTCCTACGTCTGGCTTTGCTTGGCTTTTCTCCTCTAGCGTCCATCTTGCCCAGCTGTCTTTCTGTCTACTCTGTCTCTGAGCTCCCTGCCCCTTCTATATTTTCCTTGTTTGTTTGTGCCTGTCTCCTTTTTTCTGTTGTTGTTTCTGGTTTATGATAATGGTCCTCAGACCCATCACACCAGTTGCCCCATCTTACAGTTAATATTTTTTATGTTCTTTGAAATGAAACTTGTAGCTAATATAAACTAGATACCAATGTGTAATCTGATGAAATTGTATTTGAATATATAGCCACTCAAGTGTGACATTGGAAGTTCATACTGGAGTTGGTACCTCACAGGTGGCCTTCAGAAATCTTTGCTACCCAATTGCAGGCAAACAGTATCTAATGCTTATAGATTGTCAGTGACTTTTTATGTGTTTGTATCATGTATTCAGCATGTAATTACCTAACAGGTATACCATAGAACTGAATAGTTTGGTAGTTTTTATTGTCTAGTACTGTTATGTTTAACATTTATCCAGTATATAATAAGGAGTACTTAACAAAATATCTTATTTGTACTTGACATTTAGTGTACATGGCCTTTAACAACTTGGGATTTCATTTGAATTCGGTACACTGAGCTTTAACAGGTCAAAGGGAAATACACGTGATATGACCATTGTTATTGACAAGGTTTTTAACCAGCTGCTCTATATGGGGTACAGTGTATGTGTGACTACTGTTTTGGCAGTACAGAATATTCGTAGTGATGAAGCTGCAGCTAGGATTCAGGTGCTGGTCTGTGTTATGCTAGGATTCACGATACCTTCCCACGGTTTGTACTGCTTGTGTTTGGTGCTGAAAGACAATGCGAGCGAAGCTCTTAGGAACACTGAAAATTTTCACTTGTGTTTTTTTTTTTTTTATTGAAACATTATTGATACATAACAGGAGTCATAAAAATGTGATTTTTATAATTAAATTTTCTTCGTGTGGCTTGAACATGTAATATATATGCACTAAGTACAAATTACCTTTGTCTTGCGTTCACAAAAATTTCAACTTTGTAGGTGCAAGCAAAAAGGAAGAAAAGTGGTGAAGAACGCGAGAGAACAGCAAGTATCTTACATTTTTACAGACAACAGCAGGCCTGCTGTTCTTTAATGTCACATTAATTCTGCTGGGACCAAATGAAGTACTGGGAAGAGGGTGGTGTCTATCACCTTTGTTGACTGGATAGGAGAAAAGCAAGTAGGCTTAGGACAGGAAACAAAACATCCCCTGACCCCTTTCAGTATCTTACTATTAGAAATAGAAGTTCAGAACTGGGCATAGTGGTGCACGCCTTTAATCCCAGCACTTGGGAGGCAGAATCAGGTGGATCTCTGAGTTCAAGGCTAGCTAAGCTATATATAGTGAGTTCCTATCAAGGAAAAAAAGAAATAGAAGTTCAAGGGGCTGGTGAAATGGCTCGGTGGGTAAAGGTGCTTGCTGATAACCTGAGTTTGATCTCGAGGACCCCAGTTATCCTCTGCCTTCCTTGTGTACCATAACACATATTCATGCGAAATAAATAAAAATAGAGTTAGAAAATTATATGTATAATTTACATAGTTAAACACACATATGCTTTAACTTTTATTTAACATATTTTATTTTTGCTTATATTAGTGGTTACCTGAGTATATGTATGTGTTCAATGGAGTTCAGAAAGGCATGGGATACCCTGTAACTGGAGTTCTCGTATAGGTGCTAGGAACTGAATCCAGGTCCTCTGCAGGAATAAGAAGTGCCCTTAATCAGGTTGGGGATGGTAGCACACGCCTTTAATCCTAGCACTAGGGAGGCAGGTGAATCTCTGTGAGTTTGAGGCCAGTGAGTGCCAGGACAGGCCCCAGAGCTACACAGAGAAACTCTGTCTCGGAAAAACAACAACAACAAAAAACAAGAACATCCCCATTTATTTGTGGATCAGAGTAACCTTTTCCTAGAACTTTGTGGCTCTTAATACAAGAGCCTTCTCTGAAACCTAGGTGTATATGTGTTTTGTGGCCACAGTAATAAACACTTTTTTTCTGAGTGCAAAAATAATTTGGTTGAATCTTGTAGACTGTAGTTTAAATTGATTAATTAGAAAAACATTTGGCTAAGTATTCTTTCTGTTGGCGTATGTTAGCCAGCATCTCCACTAGGAATATTCTCGTTCTTAGAGATGCAGTAAGAGTATAAGATAGAGGTATGTGTATGTAAGGAGAAAAGAGTAAATAGCTAAAGAGAACCTCCCCATGGGCCTGAGGGTGTAATTCATTGGTAATGTGGTTGTCTTATATACGAAAGGCTGTGGGTCCCACCCCCAGCACAATAAATAGATGCTAAAATTTAAGATTTTTGGCTTCTTTGTAAAATTATACTTAAGTAAATGCTTTAAAAAAAAAAAAAAAAGCAGCACCCCCAAGTAGGCAAGCTGCAAGGTTCTTCTGTGAAAGTAAGAGAGGAGAGAAAGCTGCCTGCCTGCCTGCCTTGCCTGGACCACTTCTTCCTACATAGCTATACGAGTACCCTCTTTTGAACTTATACCTATACTTCTGATGCAGAAGCACTCAGAGGAGTTAGAGGTCAGCAAAGCTCCAGCACCCTTTTACCCAATAAGAAGTTGGCTGCCTTTCCAAGGCAGTGATTTCCCTGCCTAGGCATTTGGCTAGATGTGATGGTGTGTGCCTGTAATCCTAGTATCAGAAATTCAAGGTTCAAGGCCAGCCTAGGCTACATGAGACCCTGTCTTAAAAAAATAAATAAAAAGCATATGTTTTATTAAATAAATAATACTCTTAAGTATGTATCAATATTTTGTATTAGGTGGTATTAGCAATTACAGTAGTGTTGCAGTCTGAACAGTACACAGTTTATGTTTCAACTAAAATATTAAATACTTGGATCCTCAAACAAACTGCCATTTCACTAAAGCTATTGTGTCTTGCTGTATGTGAGTTTCCTATATTGGACCTTTTCCTTTGGAAGCTGTATATAACATAAAATGGAGCGATTGATAGTGTGAATCAGTGGAGTCTTAGGGAAGTTTCTGTTGGAAGCTGCTAATGTACCAGTCTTAGAGGTTCAGCAAGTACTTGTAGACTCCATAGTTGTGGTTGTTGAGGCTTTTCTAGCTTGCTTGCTTCTGTGGTTGAATACAGGAAGTGGCTTAGATGTAGAAGTGACAGTGTTCTTAACTGTCATGTTCTCAGATGGGTACAGTAGTAATACCTGCCATGGAATTGTCTTTACAGGACAAAGCCAAGAAGAGAAGGAAGCATAAGAAGCACAGCAAGAAGAAAAAAAAGAAGGCCGCTGATTCAAGTTCAGACTCAGCGTAGCATCTGGAAGACCAGGGTCCCTTACCGAGTGCAATGTCGAAGGAGCTCTCAACTGTGAAGATTAGACATACGGAGTAACGTGCATGAATTAATTCCCTTGTGTGTAGACTTGTCCTGGACTAGTCAGCAGCCACTCGGATACCGCCATGCGTGCGAAGGGCCATGATTGTTGCCTGCTGCTTGAACACCTTTTCCTCTTCCAGTCCTTGGTGACTCTGGGAGATCGTACTTTGCAGTCATACTAGTGGTTAAGACATTTGGAATAAAGCTAATATTTTTTACTAGAAGTACGTAAGGCTAAATCATCAGAAACTGAATCTGGATCCATCTTTAAGATGTAACCAGAAATACTAAGCTGACTCTAGTAAAAACTTTCAAAGTAGGGATTACATTAAAATTTCAAAATCCTTACTCTGTAGATAAGTGTATTTTAGTTTTTCCCCACGTATATTTTGGTTTACTTGGGGAAGGAGCTTTTAAAGAGGGGGCGGGTTGCTGTCTCTTCAGCTACCAGAACAGCGTGCCTTTGATCTCACACTAACTACTTCTGTGGACACAGTAGCCATGTTTCCTGGGAGGTCAGAGCTGGGCACCATCAGTCCTGCCCTTGACTGAGGTTAACGACATCTGTAGACTGTTGTATGCTGCTTCGTGTGAACCAGAGATACCCAGCCCTTTGCAGCATGAGAACGCCCCCAAAGCTCTGGAATTTACCTCCACTTCAATAATAACAACTGAATGTTTTTTAGGGTTAGGTTGTGTTATGTCATTTGAATTAATTTTGCCTACACTTTGGCTTTGGAGAGGAATTGTTTGATAGACACTGGTACTTTCTGAACTGATAGCTAACAATTCTAAAGTGCATGTTTTATACCGGCTTTAACTGGTCAGAGGGTTTTTATGTAGCCAGTGATAGCTACTTTATGTTTTGTATAGATTTTATTTAGGCTGCCATGTTTAGCTTTTAACTCCTTACTCTTGCTGTCTTCATTACTGTGTTCAGTGGCACATTAACACGACATTTAGCATGTAAAAAGCGGAACTTTTGGTTTTTGTGTTTAACAGCTTCATATTGAAGCTGAGACTTAGCACAAACAAGTTAAGTGGCAGGCCTGGTATGCTGTATCTTGTTACATAAAGCTATGGCAGAATCTTAGTAAATAGAATGTTTTAAAAGTTTGTTGTCTTTGCATATTAATAACAGATTATGACATGTTAACTTAGGTGAGAACTACATTACTGCTCCTCCTGTGTCATGTTGTACTGAGATCTTGTGCCTCATATCTCTGAGTTTCTGGGAATGTTAAAAGGAATTGATAAGTCATTTTCATTTTACACTTTTATATAATCAGGTAATATGAAATATAATGATGTACAATTTTGCCTGTTTCAGAAGGTGTGCTAAATATAGTGGAATACACACAGACATTTTGGCATGAAAAGAGGCTGAATAAATAGCTATTTTACTTAAAATAGCTGTGTTCTTATCTCCCTTTGGGTCTCAGGTAGTTACAAAGTTAATGGTAAATATGCCCTCAGGTTTTAGTGATAAAAAAAACACGTTTCTTGGGAGGTTCCTTAAAATTTTCTACTTAAAGATGCATTTATCTCCCACTGTAAGGTATCAAAAACTTTGAGGGATATACAATACCCCTCCTAAATTTTCAAAATTCAGTTGTTGGTCATGTTTCCTCCTGCGTATACAAGGCCCCTTTACTTCTGGTCCCTATATGACAGCTCTCTCCTGCAAGCAGCAGCTGTCTGTTAGACAGAGGAGGAGAAGTGGGCACTAAATTTAGGAGAATGCTGTGTCTTTCAGACTTGTGTCTAGGATTCACCCTGGTGTTTGGTGACTGTAGCAGTCTCTTGAGAGGTATAAAAAGGCTACTTATGGGGTGTTGTCCCTTATATTAATTCCATGATTATGATGATGTGTAAGTTAATGACATACTTTCCTTCCTCCACCAAAACTGCCCTTCTTTCTTGGGCGATTTTGTATCAGTTTTACAAACATGGAATGTCTCTTATGGAATGGCACTATGACATCTGCCAGAACGTGATGAAGGTCTGTAGAAATGTCTTGATACCAGCCCTAGCTTTTTGGTCACTTTTGGAGTCCTGTGGTTGCCCTTAGGTGTTTTAAGTACTCGAAGAGTGTCCAAGTTTAATTTTATCCAAAATACAGATTGGTACCTTTAGTCAAGCTTCCTTCCTTTCTCGTCATTTCACATAAGCAGTATGGTAGTCTCGGGGAAAACAAATGTGAACTGCTGTCTTCAGACTTAGCTGGGAGCTTTCACACAAGAAATTTGCCATAGTTCCAATTAAAACCACTGGCATTCTTCGGGTGTATTTATTTGTAAAGGGAGGTTGAGAGATCTTTCTTTTCTCTCTCAGTTGTATCTGCTTTGTTATAGAAGTTGTTTTCTATTTTATTAAAAAGCTAGAGGGACTGGGATATGTGTTCATGTATCTCGGGTGGGTTTAATCCTCGGACCCTCGAAAAGAATATTATTTATGTCTTAAATCCTGAACACGGTTTGGATATTGCCTCACCTGTTGATTTTTCAACACACAGACTAGAAGCCAGGCGTCTGTTCCTCCAAGGTCTCACAACAAAGATACAATGGGACAGTGGACATTTTAGCCAACTTAGCAGTCACACCATGTTTTCTTACCGTTAGGTCTAAGTGGGGAGCAGCTAAGTGGGCTTTACATCTGAGAAGCTCCTGTGTATGAGGCCGTGGAGGTCTCATGAGAATTCTTGGTGACTTTAGGTGACAGCCTTTGAAGGAGCTTAGGAAATTATTGCAATCTAAAGAAGGGCTTTGTAATTTTTTTTAGTTGTATGTTCAAATAGAAAAATGTTTTTAATTTGTACTGAGGAACTATAAATGAAATGCCATTTAACAGGATGTTAAATACTGAAATGGCTACAGGTTTCAGGTACACACAACTGCATATGTACTGAATGGCTGGCAGCATCCACTTATCTTCCCAGCTGCTGGAGAACATTCTATCTGGTTGCTAGGAAGTTGCCATGACCACACTCTGTTTTGAAGTTTGTAGAGTTAGTGCCAGCTTGGGAAGTAGACTACTTGGGAAAGCAGTGTGCTGAAACCACTCTCACTCTCAAATGGAACAAAGGGCTGTGAAGAAACTGGTGGAGTCCATCAGTAAAACTGTCAAGAGCTGTGAGTACTGAGGCCTCCAACACTGCCTCTGCACCTTGCCTCAGGAGACAGGTGGTGGTTGGTGGGTAAAAGCAGGGGCTGGAGAGAGCTCAGAGGTTAAGAGCACCAGCTGCTCTACCAGAGGTACTGAGTTCAATTCCCAGCAACCACATGGTGGCTCACAACCATCCGTTATGAGATCTGGTGCCCTCTCCTGCAGATATACATGGAAGCAGAATGTTGTATACATAATAAATAAATAAAATCGTTAAAAAAAAAAAAAAAAAGAGCCACACATGGTGGCACATATTTTGAATCCCAGCACTCAGGAGGCAGAAGCAGGCATATCTCTGAGGCCAGCCTGGTCTACATAGAGAGTTCCAGTTCAGCCAGGGCTACGTAGTGATCCTCTATCAAAAGGGGGGAGGGGCTGATGGTAAGGGGCCAAAGAGATGGCCTAGTGTGTAAAGCCCTGCCACACAAGCCTAATAACCCGAGTTCAGTCTCTGGGGCCTTGAGAACTGAATCCAAAAAGCTGTTCTTATTATTTTATTTTTAAAAACATCTTTTACACACCAATCCCAGTTTCCTCTTACGCTCCCCACCAACTCCTCAGGTGAGACCTCCCATGGGGAATCATCAAAGTCACATCACTTGAGGCAGGACTGTGGCCTTCCTCCCGTGTATCTAGGCTGAGTAAGGTATCCATCCACAGGGAATGGGCTCCAAAAAGCCAGTTTATGCACTAGGGATAAATACTGCCCAAACCCCCCAACTGGTACCCACATTCAGGGGCCCTAGTTTGGTCTTATACAGGTTCCCCAGCTGTCTGGAATTCATGAGCTCCCACTTGCTCAGGTCAGCTGTTTCTGTGGGTTTCCCCCAACGTGTTCGTGACTCCTTTGCTCATATAATCCCTCCTCCCTCTCCATGACTGGATTCCAGGAATTGAGCCCAGTCTGTGGATCTCTGCATCTGTTTCCATCAGCTACTGGATGAAGGCTTTAGGATGGCATTTAACTTAAGTCAGTCTCACTATAGGGGAAGGGCAGTTAAGGTAGCCTCTCCACTATTGCTTAGGTTCTTAGTGGGGGTCATCCTTGTGAATTCCTGGGTATTTCCCTAGTGCCAGGTTTCTTGCTAACCCCATAATGGCTCCCCCTGTCGAGATATCTCCTTGCTGTCCCTCTCTGTCCTCCACCCTTCATGTCCCCCCCCCTTCTCCCCATGCTCCCAAGTTACTCAGGAGACCTTGTCTATTTCCCTTTCTTGTTTGGGGGGGGGGGACTCTCTTAGGGCCCTCCTTGTTTCCTGACGTCTCTGGGGTGTGGGGTTTTCCCCACTGAGTAGTACCACATTGTGTAAACGTAACACGTTTTCTTTATCCATTCTTTGGTTGAGAGACATCTAGGTTGTTTCCAGATTCTGGCTGGAATAATGCTTCTCTGAACATAGTTGAGCAAATGTCCTTATGGTATGAATGTGCATCCTTTGAGTATATGCCCAAGAATGGTATTGCCTAGTCTTGAGGTGGTTTAATTCTCAATTTCCTGAGAAACCACCATACTGATTTCCAAAGCAACTGTACATCTGCACTCCCACCAACATGGAGGAGTGTTGTATGCATTTAAAATCTAAATTCCTCATCCTAATGTAATTATTTTAGGATGTCTGCTCCCCATGTGTTTAATACCACAAATAGTTACTTGAAAGAAGTTACACAGATAAAAATTTGTAACAATTGATCAGCAAATATACTGTTTGAATAAAGGAACTGGCCAGGCATTGGTAGCACGCCTTTAATCCCAGCACTTGGAAGGCAGAGGCAGACGGATCTCTTGAGTTTGAAGCCAGTCTGGTCCTATAGAGCAAGTCCCAGGACAGTCTCCGAAGCAATACAGAGAAACCCTGTCTTAAAAAAACAAAAAGAAATAAGGAATGATTGCTGCATTTCTCCCCTTTTTGAAAGTTTTGACATTGGTTTTTCAGTTGTGCTCCAAATCGTCAGACTGAGCGGTTAAGCAGAGCTGTGTCTTCAGGGTCCTTCCCTCCTCTAACTAATTGCCTGTTTTACACTTGGATTGTAAACAAATCCAGTGACATGAGAGGTATCCACAGGTAGAGAACCAAGTCTTAGAGTTGGTCTTCTAAAGTCACACGATGGCTTTTCTGACCATGGTGTTGATACAGGTCAGATTTAGAGCCTCCATACAAAGGGCTATCATTTTCTTGTCCACCCTGCCCATCATCCCAGACAGCTGTGGTGGCTTCTGTATCGTGCTCTTACATAACGGGTATGGACAGTTTGGTTTTTGTTTTCATGGTGTACAATGTTCCGACAGAAGTTTCTTGGGCTTTGGTTTAGACCAGTGCTTCTCAACCTTCCTAATGCTTCGGACACTTTACAGTTCCTCGTGTTGTGGTGACCCCCAACCATAAAGTTACTTTTGCTGCTATTTTGTAAGTGTAATTTGCTGTTATGAATCGTAAATATTTTTGGAGGTAGAGTTTTGCTGAAGAGGTCACAACCCACAGGCTGAGAACCACTAGTTTAGAACTTCTTAGAAGGAACCTTTAGAATTTATGATGTCATGACCAAAGGCCTCTTATGATCAACAGCCACCACCCAGTAACTCTCAGACCCTCAGAAAGCTAGTAACCTCACAAAGGAAATTCTTTACAGCATAACTGTTGCCATATTTTTTCGTTCAATCTAGAAAGCTTTGTTTTCTTCACTTAGTGTAAATTGTGTTTATTAATTTCGAACTACTTTCTAGAGTTGCATTGTCCCAAGGGTAGGCACTAGCTGTGTCTGACCACCTGTAAATGATTGCATTGAAAAGTCCACTTTCTTCATCTCACTAGCCACTTTTCAGGAGTTAGTATCCACCTATGCAGGATGGCTACCACGTGGAACACACAGAAAGGAGCATGCCAGAAAGGTCTACTGGATGATGCAGCACTAAAGATACAACTCCAGTCCTTCTTCCAAATAATAATCGTCTTTTAGTCAGGCACAGAGGCAGGGGAGTACCTCTGAATACTGGCTTCATGGCTGTGCAAACTGCATTCTTGTAGGATTAACAGATTAGATCCGACTCTCATAAGAGATTAACATCCTCTTGTCACTAACTTAATTTGTGAAACGGTGACTATATCATGATACACCCGGCTCACAGTTCTGTAGTAGACTGCCTGGATATCGCTTGCTTACTTTAACTATGATAGGAGACTGTGGAGTGGGGATAGAGCTGCTAGGGTGCCTGCCAAGCGAGGATGGGTTCAGTCCCAGGGCACATACACTGAGATTGGTGGCTCACATCTGTATTCCTAACACTTAAGGTGGTAGAGACAGGAGGATCAGAAGTTCAAGGTCATCCCTGGTTTTATTTGGTTGGTTCAAGGCAAGCCTGAGCTACAAGAAATAAAAATACAAATTTGAAAATAATAGAAGGATCTACACTATCAGAGACTGGACTGCCACCTAGCTTTAGTAAGTCTTCAGAGGAGGGGCTGAATTCAAACTTTTCACTCCAAGCTTAAGATCCGGTGAGAGGATTTTCCAGCTATTCCTGTTGAGCTTCCATCGACATGTTCAGTAGCAACTTTTGAATGCAGGTTCTTTGCTTCATTTAGTTGTGTGTTTCTAATGTTGAAACCTGCATGTTTATCTCTGAAGGCATTTTGTCAGACACTATGAACTGCATCTCTGATCCGCTCCTGGGAAAAAGAGGGAAAGTTTAATATTTGTCCTGGTGGATCCAGACCTTTGCTTCTTAGTATTCATGAGTGTTTAATAAAATTAACTCAAACTTAGAGCAGGCCCCTCTCTAGGCATTTGTGAGGCAAAATAACATACCAGTGTGTACATAGTTTGCATACATATTTACATACATTTCCTAATTAGCTCTGCATGGAAGGTTTAATGCTGCAATGGCAACAATCACTCTCTTCAAGTAAAAGTAGAATTCACTGGGCGGGGGTAGGAAAAAGAATAATACAAGGAGAGCCTGGAAATGAACTGATTCTAGTTCTAGATGCTGGCAACTCTAAATCTCCGGAGACTGAATGGCCCACTTTCTGGCTAGTAGGCTACTGGCGTCTTGTTTTATAGGGCAGCAGACAGAATCTCTTCAGAAAGGCCCTGCTTCCTAATACGACCACCACTGGAGGGTGGTACTTCAGCCACCACAGGGGGAGCCCACACAAACCCTACGACATACGTGGCTTTGTACTGACTAAAATAAGTACATGACTGCAGCGGCACTTCGTCTCTGGCATTACTCTCCAAGGCATGTGATCATAGTTGAAAAACACCTTACAAACTCAATACCAGACGGCCACATCATGAAAACAAAGGAAAAACAGAGTGATCACAGATTACAAAGCATTGGACAACTAGCTGTGCTATCCTGGCCTGGATCATAATGCTAACCTGGCCCTTAAAAGGCCATTAGTGGAAAAATTGCTAACGTACAATTACAGCTTATCATTAAGAATAGAACACACTGACCATAGCTTTGGTAAAAGTACTAAGTTGCATCAGATGTTGACATCAGAGACTGCATGGAAAGGATGTAGGAGAACCCTGCTCTGTTCTTGCACTTCTTATGTAAATCTGAAGCCTTCACACAGTGTCCAACACTGATCAGATATTAAAATGTTTAAAGCTTGCACTGGAGAGATGGCTCAGAGGTTGAGAGCACTGGCTGCTCTTCCAGAGGTCCTGAGTTCAATTCCCAGCAACCACATGGTGGCTGACAGCCATCTGTAATGAGATCTGATGTCCAAGCCCATATGCAGGCAGAACACTGTATCCACAATAAATAAACACATACATTTAAAGCTTGCTCCAGCTGGGTGTAGCAGTACACACCTGTCATCCCAGCCCTTGGGAGGCTAAGATAGTAGGGTCATGAACCCAAGGCCAAAAAAGAAAAAAAAAAAAAGTTTGTCCTATGCATCTGTATAGCAAACCCATATCAGAAGAAGCTGGGCAGCTGCATCCCCTATATGGCCCAACCTTTCAGCCACTGTAGTACTTTTGTGACAGACACACAACCAAAGCAGTGTGTGAAAGGAAGGGTTTATCCTGGCTCACAGTTTAAGGATACAGTCCACCACGATGGGGACACCATGGCAGCAAGCATGGGAGCAGGGGTCACATTGCATCTACAGTTAGGAGGCAAAGAGATGAACGCTGGCACTCAGCTCTCCCTTTTCATTTAGGCCAGGGCCTCCCCAGCAGAATGGTACTGCCTATGTTTAGCGTGGGCCTGCCTGCCTCAGTTAACCCAATCCAGAAATTTGACTTGTCTCCTAGGTGATCTACCATATCGATGTGTAATTTTTCTTGGGGAGTATAGACCAGAGTATACACAACAGACCAAAGAAACAATTCCACCCAAGTCTAGCTTGCTGAGCCAGTGAATTTATTTACAGGAATGTGGGTGACGGATCACACAGGAACATGGATGATTGGCACGTATCTGTCTCACCAAAAAGCCCACCCTAGTGTGAGAAATGAAGAAACCTACATCACCTAGTGATCCTCCCAGAAGCCTGGTTATCCAACAAAACAAAAATCTCAGTGCTGGGTATGGGATGTCTCCCTCTGAGTTGTTGGTTAGAGAGGCCCCAAAGCAACACATGCTACTGTCATTGCTCATGTCTTCCTGCCAGAGCTTGTTGCTAAGACTCTATTGCTGAAGATGCCACACACTTTGGTCACAGGACTTAGAGAAATCAAACCAGAATAGCTGATGCTTCCTTCCTGCTGGCTAGCTTTTCAGTGCCTGGGGGTGCTGCTGCAGGCTTCTGGGGGAGAAAGGCTAGCCACACTCTGACCTAGCTTGAAACACTAAGAGCTACAATAGCACCTGACCTGGCAAGACATGTCCACTGGTGCAGGAGTGGTGTGGACGTTTCGGGGGTAACCATTTCTAATTGCATCAAGGCATGCTCCAGAGGGTGGGACTGTACCCCTGATCAAGAGCTGGCAGGGCTGGGAAATCATAGTACCTACGGGAACCCACTGCTATCATTTTGCTGAGTGGACATAGTCAAACCACTTTCTAAATGCCCACGTTTGTATAGAATTCATGCTGCTCTTCGTCCTCGTCGAAAAAGCTTTATCGCAATAGGCAGAGGTAATACAGAGATTCCTAACTGGTCAAAGTACTGGTGGAGTGCTCAGCCCCAAGTGGCTGATCTATATCAACCCATACGAGGCTCAGGGGGCATTGCAGCAGAGGGTGATGTTGGAGGGTGGGGATATCTTACAAAATGATGTTTCTTGACATGGCATTGCTGTTGCACTAATGAACTTCACAAGACAAGATTGAGCCCCGCCCCTTGAGGGACTTCTGACAGTTAATGGGAGCTGGGGTAAGGGATAGCACTCTTCAGTGGTATGGACACTGGTAAACAACCTTCCACAGATGGCCAGGCAGGCAACCCTAATTAAACTCGGTGCTACACACAGAGAAAAGACGACAGGAAGATGACTTGGGGGAAAGTCTTCAGTGAGGGGATGAGAGTATTAGCAGGTTAAAAAAGACTAAAATTCATTATATATATGCATGACTGTCAAGGAATTTAAGAAAAAAAAAGTTGCACTCCTGGAGCACAGCCTGCAGGCAGTTCAGTCAGTAGGCAAGCACCTTCCCAACTGCTTGTTACCACTTAGATAACGTTGGGGGAAGAGCTTTAAAAGCACAAGTTTCAGGAGTGTCCTCAGACTTCAACTTCCTGAACCTTACCCGTTTCATTTACTTGTGGGTTTGCATGAACCTCCTTCCAGGATGGAAAGGTTTGAGTCAGAGGAAATGGCAGCATTACAGTTGCCATTGTCCTTCATTCATAGGGCCTCATTTTCACTGTGTGCTATTATCTGAGCTGGTGACAAAAATATCACTGCATTGTTTTGTCTGTCTAGGACAGGATGTCATTATATAGCCATAGCTGGCCTAGAACTCACTGTGTAGACCAGGCTGGCCTTGAATTCAGAGATCCACCTGCCTCTGCCTCCCAAGTACTGAGATGAAAGGCGTGCACCTCCACACCAGTCAAATCCCACTAGTTTTAAAGGAAGGCTTCTTAGACCTCATTTCTCTAATGAAAATCAAAGTCACATAGCTGGAGGCAATAGTGCATGCCTGTAACACTTGGGAAAACTGAGGCAGATCAAGATATTCAGGCCATCCTGGGTTACACTGTCACAAAAAAGATAGATTGTTACGATCGTAGCAAAATACAAATTGCTGATTTTCCATTCAAAAATATCATGAGTGTATTATGAAAGGGGTTCAAAACTTAAATAAAGGTCTGGTTATCAGCCACAATAGGTTGGTAAGTTGTATTGTCTGTAAGATCTGTAAACAAACATGTGAGGTCTGAAATCCTTGCTCCCACCAGTTGTATTGTCTGTAAGATCTGTAAACATGTGAGGTCCGAAATCCTTGCTCCCACCAGGGACCGTGTTGGCATCTGTGCTACAGCTGGAGGTCATGTTTATGTCTGTGGTCCCTGCTATCTCCAGAAACCATGTGAAAGTCCATTATCCAGGCTGCTCCCGGCTGTTATGGACAAGGAAGCTCTTTTGCAATGGTACTGATGAAGACTACGGACTCATATCGGGGAATAAGAGACACAGAAAGATTCTGTGACAACCTCCCCCTACCCCCATAGACAGACAACCTGGACAGGAAGCCATTGAGCGAGGCCTTAAACATTTAATAGGGAAGTTGAAGT